CGCCCTCAAGACGTGGTTGTTCCAGCAAGCGGGACTGGCCTAGGGGATTTTATAGGGGTTTTAATTACTTTTAATTGGACATTCTCAAATATTTCGTTTTAATTAAATTTTAACTAGGTGTAATATTATGTATGTTAGTTTTTTATCATTTGTCAGCCGCCCTGAGTCCGAAAGGAGAAGGGCGGGATATAAATGCAATAAATAAATAAATAAATAAATAAATAAATAAATGGTTTTTAGTTGACTCACGTCTCATTTTATGACCTTTTTTGTTAAGCAAATCACTGTAGTTGTTAAGTGAATCACATGGTTACTAAGTGAACCTGGTTTCCCCATTGGCTTTGCTTTTTGAAAGCTGGCTAAGAAGGTTGCATATGGCAATCCGATGATCTCCTGAATAATCCTGGATCATCTTTCAATTTCCATTAAATTGCCTCTCTCAGAAGATGTGTATGTATGTCTGTAAACCAACACTAGGATCCTCAGAGCTTATACATCTTATACATGCATAATCTTATCTTACTCCTAGTTAACTACAGAACCACTGTTTATTTATTAGATTTTTATCCCACCTTTATCATTTTTATAAATAACTCAAGGCAGCAAACATACATACTCTTCCTCCTCTTATTATGGACTACAAACTCAAAATAAAATTTATATCTTAAATAAAAATAAAATTTAAAATATGGACAAATGGAAATCTTGTCCCTACACAAGTAATTATTTGCATAGAAAAGAGGAATGTCTAGCCATCTAGTTAATCTAACCTGTATTATCATAGTCCATAATCAAGGACTCTGTGAAGTAGACAAAAATATAACTTTAAATGTAAATAAAATGTATATTTTATATCAAATTTCTCAAAAGTATATATTACAACAAATGGCCATATGCAACCTTGAGTATCTGATAGAGAAAATATCATAGTGAGCTTACAAGGATCTTGCAAAACTAAAATATATTAAAATTAGGCCTGGGAAGTCACTATTTTTTTCTCAAACATGATTAAACCTGGAAACAGGGAAGTAAATTAAAGTAACAAAGAGGTCAATTATCATAATAGCCCTTTGTGAAAAGCTGACATCTGTCCAGGGCTCAGAATCAGATAAACCAGTTATCTGATTAATAACTTCAGTCAGTAGAAACAGTTCAGGAATTCAAATAGGTATACCATATAACTCTTAACTATAGAGAGCTACAAATACCAGTATGTTTCAACTATAGTGTGGGGCTAAAACAAGGTTTTAATACCTCTGTATTTGAAGTGTCTACTCATCTAAGACTATTGAATCAACAGATCTACTTGGGAATGAAATGGAGGGTAGACAGTCATTTCTTGCCCTGCCTCCCATACAATCACTGGTTTTGTTCATTGGGGTTCATATGGATCAGAGACCAATCTATTATTATTTCTGTAAGCCACACAAAGTCACTAATAGGTAGGTAGGTAGGCAGCAGGCATGTGTGTGTGTGTGTCTGTGTGTCTGTGTCTGTGTCTGTCTGTCTCTCTCTCTGTCTCTGTTTGTCCATCCATCCATCCATCCATCCACCCATCCATCCATCCATCCATCCATCCATGGTGATGCAGTGGTTAGAATGCAGTACTGCAGGCTACTTCTGCTGGCTGCCGGCTGACAGCAGTTTGGCAATTTGAGTCTCACCAGGCTCAAGGTTAACTCAGCCTTCCATACTTCCAAGGTAGGTAAAATGAGGATCCAGATTGCTGGGGGCAATAGGCTGATATTGTAAACTGCTTAGAGAGGGCTGTAAAGCGGTATATAAGTCTAAGTGCTAAGTGCCATTGCTATCCACCCTCTCATACAGTGTTTCAGGACAGTGTACATGATAAAACAAGGCACATATATTAAAATTCATTGCATTACAAATACAACCATAATAAATTAAAAAAATAAAAATTCAACATAAAAACATACAAAATTTGTTTTTAATGAACCATCCTGCAACTATCTAGCACAGAGGTCCCCAACTCCTGGTCAGTGGACCTGCACTAGTCCATGGCATTCCAGATACCAGGCCAGGCAAACAAGCGAAGCCCCGCCCATGGGATGCAGGCAGCATGTGAAACCTCACCCCCTCCAGTCTGCAGAAAAACCTCTCTCCAGGGAACCAGTCCCTGAAGCCCAAAACGTTGGGGGCCACAGATCTAGCAGGTACCACTCTATCACAGGATCCTAAATATAGTTATTTTAAGGGCCTTCCAGAAGGCTAAAGGGGTTGGATCACCATCACTTTAGGGGTATTGAACCATACTGTTTGAGAAGCACTGTACTGAAACAATCACTATACATCAAACTTGTATCTTTAAAAGAAAAGAAAAGAAAAGCTGGCAGCTTAGTTTGCTTGTTTCTAAGCTAGTTTTGCAACCACATATCTACTGATGCTTTTGTTGTGTTTTCTATCATAGTTCTAGCACCATCTTGTTAACCGGGGCTTATGGGATAGCATGGACATAAACCATTTGCTTTGAAGCACATCAATATTTAAATGACTAGATGTACGTAGATATACCAGTAGCAGTTAAGACTTATATACCGCTTCACAATGCTTTTACAGCCTTTTCTAAGCGATTTACAGAGTCAGCCTATTGCCCCCAACAATCTGGGTCCTCATTTTACCGACCTTGGAAGGATGGAAGGCTGAGTTAACCTTGAGCCTGGTGAGATTCAAATTGCAGGCAGCCGGCAGTCAGAAGAAGTAGCCTGCAGTACTGCATTCTACCACTGTGACCCACGGCTCTTATGACAAGTTCATGTCAGTTTTGTTTCTATAAGTAAATTATATGAAGTTTGCAGAGACTTCAATCTTATATTGAGACTAAAGCCACTTTCAATTCAGGTATTCCTCAACTTACAATAGTTCATTTAATGAATGTTCAAAGTTACAACATCACTAAAAAAACGACTTATGACTGTTTTTCACATATTATTATTATTATTATTATTATTATTATTATTATTATTATTATTATTATTATTATTATTATTATTATTATTATTATTATTTCAATTTATATCCCGCCCTTCTCCCGAAGGACTCAGGGCGGCTCACAACATTATTAAAACAAAGAAAGACCCACACACCCCACCGAATAAAACCAAATTAACAACATCCCCATGGTTAAATGATCAAAATTCAGACACTTGGCAACTGACTCATATTTATGACAGTTGCAGTGTCCCAAGGACATGTGATCATCTTTTGCAGCCTTCTGACAAGCAAAATTAATGGGGAAGCCAAATACACTTAGCAACCATGTTACTAATTTAACAACTGCAGTGCTTTCCTTAACAATTTTGCAAGAAAGGTCGTAAAATGACACTTAGTAAATGTCTCACTTAGCAACAGAAATTTTGGGCTCAATTTGATGATAAGTCAAGGACTACCTGTATTTCAATAATAGAGTCCAGTAAGTTAAATAAGTGAAAGGAAATTGTTTCTATCCTCCTTTAAAGTAACCCCCCCTAATGTTCTTGTGTTCTCTTTTTGCCTATTAAGATATCTCTTAAAAAGTCACAGACAAACTAAATTGTCCCTGGAGTCACATTATACTCCTGATGACCTAATGGACACATCCATATATATATATATTTAGAGTCAACATGAAAGTGAATTACCACTGGCTTCTTCAAGATATTTCCCCCACTCCCAACCTTCCAGGGCTTCAATATACTTGCAGAATTTTGCCAGATATGTACAAGAAACCAAACATGGGAATCTCTGTCTTGAATATAATGGTCCTTAAACTATACAACTTCTCCCTTCTCTGTATTAGCATGTTCATGCACATTCC